AAATTGGACGAGACAATTCCCCACTTTGTCAGGACTGACCTTTTTTTGGGTTCCCCCTTTCGGGAGCGGCATTTTTTTCCCTCCGGTTACTTCTTTCCCTCCCTCCTTTTTCCCCCCCCCCCCCCCCCCCGCCCCCCCAGCCCTGGCGGATACACTCAGGTGAAGGGGTCGGAGTTCCGAATCTTCTTCGTCCCCGTGTGCCTCCAGAACTTCTTCCCATCCTCGTCTGAGATGAACTCCTCCCAGCGTCCCTTCTTGTCGTCCTTCTCCTCCTCCTTTTTGGGCGACGCCGGCTTCACCGGTACCACAACCACCGGACCCGCCGGGACGACCCAGGGAGGCGGCTGGGGGAAGCGTCCGGGGATGGGACCCACCGGCCAGACCTGCTGCTGCGGCGGCTGCATGAAGGGGAAGACCACGTTGTGGTTGTTGTTGTTGACGTGCGGCTTGATGTCGGTCCACATTCCTGTGAGGTTGCTTCGCCTGCGAGGTCGGGGGGGGGGAGGCAAAGAGGAGCGGGTAGTATGCAATAATGTAAGACAAGGAAATAAATCGTGCAGGTGGCAGTATGCATATGTCAGCTTGTAGTCCAGGACGAAACCACATTATGTTCGACGGCAGTGTTGTTGCCAGGGGTACAGAAAGAGAAGGCCGCACAAAGGAGAGCCACACCCCGCCACGCGTAACAAAAAACTTCCAATCCATTCTAATGCAGCTCATGTACACAGATTATCAAGATTGCCTGCATCGGGACACGTGCTCACGTCTGGAAGGGGAGATTGGGGAGGAAAGCAAAAAGAGAAGCTAACCAACCACACAACGTTGCCTACTTTGGTCTATATGGGATAGCCCCTCTTGTAACCTACTACTGTACAGCAGTCTTCAATATGAAGTACTGAGTCGGAAGTACGGAACTACACCAGGTGCCGAACAGGTTTTTGTTGTATTTCCCTCCCGTCCCCTCTCCCATTCCATTCATTGAAGACGTGCAACGAAACACCCATCATGCTTACCACCAGGGGCGGCCCGCGGCATCCCGGAACTCGGTCCACTGATTCGCGGTGGCCGGAGGGCTTCCGGCGGGTGTGCCCGGTGCAGCCGCGTCGTTGTCTGTCCGAACGTAACGGAATCATCCGAAAAGGAGGGGCGAGCGAGAAGGAGACCACGAGCAGCGAAGGGAAATTTGTCAAGAAAACGTTTGGCCTACAGCAGCAGTAGTTCCTGGGTGATCGCATCGTCGACGAACAAAACCTTGACAGCAGGTTAGCAGGTTGCAATCAATGCAGGGCATCAGGAGCGTTGCGGCGCAAATCTATCCGTTTTCCTCAACTTCTCGCTCCCCTCTCTCCTTCCACCTTATCTTTGCTCTCTCTCTCTCTCTCTCTCTCTCTCTCTCTCTCTCTCTCTCTCTCTCTCTCTCTCTCTCTCTCTCATGCATGCACATGATGTGCGCACCACAGAAACACCGACAGACTTACCTCGAGAGACAGGACGACGACGAGGTGCGGCCCGCCTGCCCAGCCCAAGGCAGGACAAGAATCCCATGGGAGTGTTGTGTTGCGAGGTGGTCTTCGCTGACGGACTGCTGTGTGTCTCGCTGTTGCTGCTGGTGTTTGTACTTACTTGCTGCTTTTGGAGGGCTGCGATCAGCCCCAAAGGTGCAGTAGCTGGTTGGCAATGGTGGTGTCTTGAAGGCCTTGCTCTTGGTTGAGGGAGTGCTGCTGTGGTTGTGAACAGGAGGGGGTTGTGAAGAGGGCGGGGTTGGCGCGCGTTCTGTGTTTGACAAGTTGCTGCACAGAACGTGTGCAGTGCGCCGATCCTCAGAACGATCCCGGCAAGTTCTACTGAGATTCTGCCGCAACGACCCGAAACTCTTCGTTCTGCGGGTTTGCGGGATCGGTCTGTGGACAATCCAGAGGCAAAAGGGTCCCGAACTCTTCGCAAAGAGAGCGGTACAGTAGGTAGCCTTAGGCAACTGCTCACGTAGGCGAGACTCCAACCCAGAGACCGCGGAAAACCGTAACAAACGCAATTCAACCGGAACTACATACAGAGTTACCGAGGGCGACAAGAGCAAGGCCATTGCCGCGGGCTGCAACAAGTAAACATTAGGTGTGAGTCAGCGACTGAGCCCAAAAATGTTGCAGCATTTATTGTTTTGAAGAAAGAACATATACTACTAAGTAGCCTAGAAGCTGGTGCTGTTGTCTTCATGTGTGTTGTCCGTCTTCAACCTGAGCAGGTCAACAACCTGCTTGCAACTGCGAGGAGCGCTCTTGGGAGATGGAGGGTTGGAAGCGGGAGCAGAAGCGGGAGGGGCAACAAGCGGCGTTCGTTTGGCCGTTGATGATTTCTGTCCCCCACCTAAATAAAGTCTAGCGGCAATTTTTTGTGTTCGTGAACGCTTTAAGGGGAGGGAATGATATGTAGGGGTGCCGTTCACCAGACGTACGTGGGCTTGTGCTACATTTCTCCCGGCTTGAGAGGAAAAAAATAGAAGCTTGTGCATATGACTTTGGATCCGCGCAAAGCTCACGCTAGGTCAGGGCGTAACAGTGAGAGAGATCGATTCTCGGTCCCTTACCCTCTCCCCGCTCAGTGGCGCGTGCCGGGGGTGGGCAAGTTCCTGGCTGTTTTCCTCGCAGCAACAAGAAGACCAAACGACATGTTTCCAAACCACCCCAACCCATTACTGTTTTCGCGTGGTGAGTGACAAGACTTGTCCAACATTGGCGGGGACAACGCCTGCCCGTCTGTCTCTCCACCAAACTTGCAATCATCTTTGCAAGGGTTTTCGGTGGCATTTTCTCTCTCTATTGCGAGTACAGCGTTCGAGTTCAGCAGCCCGATTTCCCTCTAGGTGAAACCGCTGCCCCCCCTCAGACTACCCGTGCCATAGACGGAGAACTCTACACCTCTCTAAACAAGCATTGCAGTAGCTGCTGCACGGGGGAGGAAAAAGAAAACGTAGACCCCAAACACGTAACGGCGGGTTCCCTTCGCAATCGCCATTTGCTTCAACACCTCGCAATTCCTGCGAGAAAACTCGCAGGGACATGAAGCATCTAAGCCCCAATCTATTTTAACAGGGTGTCAACCCAGACACAAAAAACACCTGCCAATATACCGTCACTACGGAGACCCACGAGAAACAAACAGGCGCCGTCTACATGTGATACTACTAAATCACGCCCTACGCTGTGGACTGTATGCGATAACAACAGCGACGCCGGATAAGCTCCCCTCTGCGAGTGTACCACCTCCTAGCCATAATCCGAAAAACGTGGTATTCTCTCCTTTCGCGATTGTTCCGGCTGGGTCCCCCCCCCCCCCCCTCCCGAGCAAAAATAACGCCTTCAGCACTGAAACCAGCCACTACGTGCAAAGTAGGTGCAGGAGGGCGAACCAAACCCAAAGCTTCACAAAGGGGTGAGAGGCGTTGCGATACCGGTTTAGAAGCTATCCTTGGGCGGCGAGTGCGGCATGGGGGCGGCGGGGGCCTCGGAAATCTAACACCACCGCGGGTGGGCGTAGGGCTGAAGCCAACGAGTCCGCCAACTCTTACGAAACCGCTGGATTGCGGCCTGCCGCAACAAAGACAAACCGTTAAAACAGACCACAACAACAGCCAGCCGTCTAGTCCTTCTTCATGGATTCCGAGTCGACCGCGAGACCCATGGTGTTGAGCCCGTTGTCCACATACCTGTGAATTCGAATCCAATTCGCCGCACAACGGCAGATGGAGGGGACGGGGGACGGCAGGTTAGGTAAAAACGCGTGGATGAGAGCGGGTGCGCCCAGGCGGGAGAGGATCGTCATGCGCGCACACCCACACGGCACCGAGTTCCGATGTAACCACCGGAAGCGATCCAGATATAGACGAGACGCAGTAAGACGCGATCCTGATCCTGCGCATTTTACTAGCTGTACGGGGCGACCCACCCACGTTGACAAGTAATGTTTGGTGCTCCCGAGCCTAGTTTCATATTTTCTCCGGGATAAATCAGCATTGACTGCTGAATGGGTTGCTAGTGAAGGATTGATTCTTCACTGAGCACCTGTTCTAATTTCTTTGTGGTTCCCCTTAGTTTCTTTACCCCCAGATTAGATTCACAAGCGGTGGCGCGTACTGCTGTACCCGGCCGTATTCACAAGAAAACATCTTTGTAAAAGTTGTCATTCTACACAGGACTTCCTTTCCTTTGTTGTTTCATGAAGCAAGAAAGAAGAGTTGCTTCCAGATAGGAGGGACCCCCCCCCCCCCACGCGAAACGGAGCCAAGGGTACTCCACCCTTACCCCCCGCCGCCGCCGCTCCTTGTCAACGCCCGCCTTCCTCTCGTCCTTCTCGCGCCGTAACCGCAACAAATTCATTGCACTCAACCACACACAATACACAGTGGGTAGCGTTCCCTCAGCGTTACCCTCGATCGTGCCAGACCAAGCGATGTTCACCCAATCCCACAATCAACCAGAAAAGTCGAATTTGTCGTCACCTCCTGTGCATCGCGACGTCCGCCACACACAAAAAAATAAAAAAATGGTCTCGTCTCTCCAACCCATATGTGTGTCTGACTGTCTGCCTGTCTCACATGGTTGTGCCCGTGATGACTCGAGACATGTCCGACGAGAGGAATAGCGCCGCGTTTCCGACGTCGTCGTTGTACAGGTCCTGCATTTGATGGCATCATGTGCATGTAAAGAATCGGATGGGGGTGTAAGGACCAACAGGGTTGCGCGCGGCATTAGGACCGGAGGGCAGAGCAAGGCTCGGAGTCGTTGTCAACGCCTGGCGTGCACCATACATTTTATGACGGATACACGCTGCCGAAAAGGGCTATTGGAAAGCCCAAGAGAGAAAATAAGACATAAGCCGTATTTGGAGAAGAAGGAGGAGCTCAAGGAAACGCTGTCGCACACGGGTGCAGGTGTCTCGCGGTGCCTGGCCGTATTTGAGACACGGAGATTGCCTACTGACGGTAAACCATATACGTCCCCCTTGCCTGATGCACGGCAAGTTTGAGATGACGAAACCAATTCACATGCGCAAAACAAGAACAATACGCGGCATTATCAAAATATGGCAGTACGAAGAATGCGCGAAGAATACGCTAGGCGCACACGGGCACACCGAGCAAAACAACAAGCCAAAACCAATCCACACCGTACCTTGTCGATGACCAAAGAAAATCAATGGCAACGCCTGGCCAAAGTGCAGAGGGAGGAATCTTCCTCCCCCCAGCCGAAAACGAAGGGAAGCAAAGGTGCCCCAAGTGAAGCTCACCAACCCCCCCAATGCACCAATGCACAAATGACAAAACAATATAGGGCGGGAGGCCGCAAGGTGCACAATCGGATCGACGTAGACGCTCGCTACAACATGTCCTGTTCCTACATCCGCTGCTGTGGTAGTTCACCTGTCCCAGGGGAGAGTTAGCCTTGCTGTAGTCGATGGCGTACTCGATGAACGTCTTCTTGCCCTTCTCCTTGCCGATGGCGGACGCCGCCCGGGACTTGAGGGGCCCCGCGGAGATGGTGTTCACCCGCACGCCGTACTCCCGCCCCGCCTCCCACGCCAACACGCGCGTGTCTGACTCCAGCTGCGCCTTGGCCGAGGACATGCCTCCACCGTACCCGGGGATAACCTGAGGCAAACAAGGCCAACAACGCATGGATGACGGCGTTTGTGAAAGTTGTCGTCGTCGTCGTCGTCGTCGTTGGAGTGTGCGAGGTGATGGGGAGGGAAGGAAGGGTAAAAAACGTGGTCAACAGCAGTCGCCAAATTATTCTGTAGTGAGCGGAGCGGGCGACTTCTGCGCACTCAAACAAGGGAATAATCAAGCAGCCGAAGCATCTGAAATGTACAATGAACACCACAAGATAAAAAAAACTTCCAACAAGTCGTCAGTAACCGATTCACCTTCTCGCCACCAAAACCACTTCCACCATCGCCTGCACCAAAACTGCCAGCAGCAGCAACGACCACGACCGCGAACACTCCGCACACCCAAACAGCTGCCAAAGACCGCTCCAGCACCACAAACAAACAACACGCACCTTTTCGCTGGCGATGTACGTGAGCGAAACCACGCTGCCGCCCTTGGGCATGATCGGGGCGAACTTCTGTACGAGGGACACCATCGAGTATGCAGAGGCAGACGACGCGGCGAGGTACCCTCTCCTCGACGTCTCCAGGAGGGGCTTCGTCACCTCCGGACCGTTGGCGAGCGAGTGGACCACGATGTCCACCTGCAAGCAAGCAAGCAAGCAAGCAAGCGCGTGTGCGTGCTCCCATGCGTTACTCGATGATGCCCAATCGCACACAGGTGCCGGTGGTGGTCAGGTGTATTCTCGGCCCAATACTCTTTTTTTTCCCCTGCATGATTTCGTGTGCGTTGGGTGGTACAACGACAGCACTGCTGCTGGCACGCGCACGGTGGTGCGATTCTATCTACACGTTGTTTTGCATATGCATACGAGGAATGAAGCAAAGCACACATCGCATCGATCTAACCACCCCCAACGCATTCGGAGGAATAAAATTTGGACGTGCTTGCCACCTAAACGACCGCGTGTGACATGCACTGCTATTTGGGACTCTGTAGGGCATCGAACACTAAACTGCTGAGATGCATCCCTGCCGCGGAACTATCCAGTCGAGCTGCTAAAACAATGTATGTTCGCCATCGAACAGAACGACACGAACACGAGAGAAGGAACGTACATGCGGCACCCCACGCTTCTACCAAACGAGTCCCAACACCAACGCTGCATTGCAGCACCAATCTCGACAGAATCACAACACAACAAACAAAATACACACCACTAAACAGCAGATGTACCCTTGCTGTTTCTCTCACCGTGCCGTAGTCTGCCTTGATCTGTTCGGCCACCTCCTGGATGGTGAAGCCCGACAGCCCGGCGTACCTCTTGTTGGTCTTGACGTCCTCCGGCACGTCCTCGGGTACGTCGTACACGGCGTCTAGGGGGTACACCTTAACAAGACCAAATATTTAAATATTTGAAGGTGTGTTGAGTATCGAACAATCGCAAAAATCAAACCTAAGCGGGCATGCGAACGTCGAACAGACTCGGGGGGGGGGGGGGGAGTGCTTTTCACCCGGTCCACCCATGAAAACAGTCAAGCCCCCAACAAAAAAAACAAAAAACAAATGGGGGTTACCCCCCATTTATCCCCAAAAGGGCTCCCAACTTAAGGAAAAAAAAAAAAAACACCCCCTGACATCCCAACAGGAAAGGGAAGGGACCTTCCCGATCTCCAACTTTGAACCCTCCTCCAACTTTCTGTCCTCCTCCAAAGTCCCCCTCTTTAGCCACTTTTCCAAAAATCCCCACCCCCGCGGCCCCGTTCCCCCCGTCCCCCTCCCGCCCCCCTCTGCCAGGGCCTTTCAAATGGCCCCCCCCTACCCCGACCAATCCCCCCCTCCCGCCCCCAACCCTCCCTTGGGGGGGGGGGGGCCACCGGTAAAAAAGTTTTGGGGGGAAAAAACAACCCTTTTC